GGCCCCCCCCTTTAAGCTTCCAAATGGCCAGAAGTCTGACGACAGGGCCAATGCCGCCATCTCCATTCCAAATAGCATCAGGCCCGAAGACCTCCACCAAGCGGGAAACAGCTTGGCCAACATGACTGAGATGACATGTTGACATGTCAGTCCGTATGCACCATACTGACACTTCAGAAGTCAGTACGACCAATGGCTTTTGAAATTCTATTAGCCAAAGAACTGACAAAGGTACAAGCAAGACGGCATGCCAGTTGGTCTCTGGTGACACTCCAAATGCTGCCGTCGCCATTGCCAATGGCGTCAAACATAGACAGGGCTGTATCGGCCGCATTAATGAGAAGTTAATCTTTGTTGACCTTCATTATTACTGCATTAATGACTTGGTGTCATTCCCATTAGCGCTAGCACCACTCCAAATGTAGCCAAAATTCTGATGGTCCGAAAATCGTACAAAACCGATCTACAGGTTGTCATGGGTCCCTTTTGCCTATAAATAGCCCATGTTGCCTCAGGCTTAAGGTCCAAAAATTCTGAAAACTTTGTGCCTAGACTATGCCTAAGATCCCTTGATCTTGAGACTAGTTTATGCTCAAAATTCCTTGATCTTAAGCTCAAGCTTGTGGTTGTATCAAAGCCCCAAGGTGAGCCCACTTGAGAAAATCTCATTCTACCAATATCCTTAAATCCAAGACTAAACTACCAACCCTTCAAGCTACACTATCAAACCGAAGGCGGTCTAAATAATTAGACCTTACGGGCCCTCTTCCTCAAATTTCTACTTGCTCTGTTAAAAACTGAAAGTTTAGAATTGACGGTGCAACAAATCGATCAATGTTGGCACTGACTCTGGGCGTCGGGCTTGGTGGCCCAGCCTAAATGTTGTTTTCTGCCTTCTTTCATTTGTTTTTCTAGTATTTATTTTCTTTTATCAGTTATAGTTATGATTTACTTCTTTTCTCTCTTCATTTCTTGATTTAGCTCTCTCCTTCCTCTTCTTATATCTCTTCAATTTATTTCCTTTTAGCTATATCTATAGGTTTTTCATTTTTTTCCCTCTTTGTTGGTGATCCTATTTATCTTCTCTTCTTCTTCACTTAATATGATATTTATTAACCTTGTCTAGATATATTTTAATCATCTATCCCTTCTTCTACCTTCTTTATTATATGGTTATTTTCCTTTTCCTTCGTAGCACTTATGCATATTAGTTTGTTATATTTATGTCTCTTCCTTGTTTTTCCTATTTGATAATATAGATTTTGTCCTCTCACCCCAATCTTTCATATCTTCTATTGCATGGTTGTTTTCTCTTTTCTTGTTGCGTTTATTTCTTTTTAATTTGTTGTGCTTGTTTATTTTCCCCTTTTGTTTATTTGATGATGTAGATCTTTCCTTCTTCTTTATCTTCTCAATCAAGCATTTATTTCTTTTCCTTTATCATGGTTGTATTTCTTAATTAATGATATGTTCTCTCTCTCTCTTTTGATCTTATAGTTTAGACCTCATCTATCTCCACTTCCCCTTCTTTTCTTTCTTACTCCTATAGTTGGCATGTACCCATCTACTCCTTTCTCCCCCTTCAATGTGACACTGTCTACTTCTCTCTATCTTATTCATTTTGGCACACTTTCTAACACTCTTTTCTTCTATCTCTCTTTTATATCAATTTTTATTACACTCTTTGCATTTTTCTATTAGTACTAGTTTCACTCTCTCTCGTGTTTGTTCTCTTCCATATTGCATTACTACTTTTATTCTCATCTTGTACACATATCTCTTTGTATTGTTGATAGGGACCTCTTCTCCTTTCTTGTTCATATTCATTTTCTCATTTCTTTAATCTTCTCTCTCTCTTTCAGTTTATGTTATGCATGTTTAGTTTAGATAGTAGCTTAGACTTTGTAACCTCCATGCTTTTTACCTTCATATTCTTCTTACACTTTATAGTTACATTATTTACCCCTATGTATTTCTAATTCCCTAGTTTAGCTATTTATTTTTTGTTTTCCACTCTTGTACTTTTTCTAAATCAGATTTTCTAAAATCTCCCTTTTACCTCCAAACCCCTTTTCGAAGGATTTTTTTGTTGAGTTCTAAGATTGAAATAGGAGGGAAGCTGGCTTTGCCGGCGGTCCAAGAGGAATAAGGTTTTTTGACCCGTTTCTCCCTCGGAATGTAATTTGATAAGACCCATTCTCTACGAACTCATCACTTTGTTTGCACCTGAAATCATGGTGGGGCAAAGTCACTTGCTCTCATTTTCGAATATAAACATATAGGAAGGTTTAAAGAGACTTAAGTATGTTTAGGAGTTTAACTAGTTGAGTGTAAGTCTTAGTGAAGTTAGCTTCTAATTGGTCTATAATTAATTATGGTGTATGGTGGGGTGTATAGTTCATGCGAATAGGGTGCATGAGGGTGTACAACTGTAGTGTATTCTATAGTGTGGTTTAGGTTAGGAGGAATGGTTGTTATGGGGCAAAACTCTAGGATTTGTCTAGAATAGTTTTAGGGAGGCTCTAGAGTAGGTTCCTATGGTTTCTAGAATTTTCCTCAGCTGGAAAATGAGGTGTCTACAGTTGCCCCTTTTGTTGCTCGTGTCGAGCACTTTGGCTGAGATGAGCAACAAATAAGTTGATAACTAAGCCACAAGGTTAGAGAAAACCAAGGTTTGAAAAGAGTTTTGCAAACATAGCAGTCATACATCCTAAATTATTTGGTTAAAAGACTCAAACTCGAAATTGTGAATGAGGGAATTTTTGTATTTGAACAAAGTGAGGACATGGTGATAGGAAAAACATATAATAAGACCTTAAGAAAATTCTCAATCTTTGTGGCAACCCAAGTTGTCAAATTTTACATCGACAGTTAAGAATGAATGTGACTTTCTATACCATGGATAAATGGTCTTATAGTATATAATCAGTTTTCATGATTTAATTACTTAAGTCACTTAAGCCATAAAGCCTAAGTACATTTAAATACTCCATATTTTGAAACTACAATGTGGTTTATTTAAAAAATTTATTCTAGATTATAGTAACATTTTTATTCTTGATTTGGAACTGATCACTTGGTGGGGCCAAATTAATAAATGGAAAAAGTTTATATAAGGGTAAGGCTCTAAACAATCAAATTAAGGTGCACCTCAAAAAATTCATTAAAAGAGGTTTTTTTTATGTCCAAAAATACTCAAATTGATCAAGTCAACTCAACCTCAAGTTGCATGGATATGAGAAAACAGGATTTCAAGTCATGGAATAATGCATCTTGTACTGCATTTTTGGACTGATTTTCAAGATTTTAAAGTTTTCATAGAGGAAAGTCAGGTTAGCAAAGAGGGCGAGCACATCAATCTCATTTCTGATTCGTCAATTGAAGCTGCATAGGTGATCTCGAGTTAGAGAGTCGAGTTCGAGGTGAGGCTGGCATCAAACGAAAAGCAAGGTCGTGGAGGGGACTACTTTCATTCCATCTCGCCCGATAGAGCCATCCCACCCGATAAAGGGATACAATGATAAGTCATCCTTACTCTCGATCAGATACGCTCTTCTCTTCCACCCCTGGACTATATTCCATCTTGAGAGACAACCAATACGCAATTCCATCCATTGTATGCTAGGCCATCCTTTCGGCATCCCTAAAACCCGTGGCGAAAGGAAGGGTTGAATCAAATGCTGCTTTAAATTTTGGGAAAGCTTTTTATGTTGTTAAAGTTTTTTATGTTTCCCCTACAACATAGAAGTTCTATCCTCCCCCTTATCCAACCGTCCATTTTTAATGGAGGGCTAAGATTGCCTTAATTACAATGTCACATCTCTACACTATTTTAGCTTTATTTTTTAGTTTTTTATAAACTATTTTGACACAAAATTTTGGATGTCCATTCCTCTATTAGAGCACTAACGAAAACTATAAAAAATATATTTTCAATAAAATAAAATGACCAAAATACCCCTGAAAAATTTAAGGGGTATTTTGGTCATTATTGTTTATCAAAAAATTATCGTTAATATTTTTTATAGGCGCACCCCAATGAGAAGATGGTACATACAAAATTTCATACTCAGAAAAATTGTATTAAAAAAACTAAAAATACTACTAGACGTCGGATCTAAGATCAAACGGTGAATTGGCTCTCTTGTTCAAAAATTGTTGAGAGCCTCGAGGAGAGGCTCGACCTTATATACAAACTGTACATGTATCCTTCATAAAATGCCTCAACTTGTTCAAAGTTATGAAACAAAAAAAAATTATTTAGTGTAAAATATGTTTTTAAGTTAAGAAAAGGCGGGGTTCATTTGGTTGAAGTTCTTGCCGTGGTTCAAATTACTGCAACTTTTTAATAAAAATCATATATCAAGTTTTTGTTCATATTATATGAAAAGAAAAAGAAAAATTAAAAGAAATGTATTTGAAATAACAAATTTTAATAAAAATGGTCAAGCTTTCATTCATATTATGTAGGAAGAAAGCTGGGTTGAAAGAATCAAGGTATAATAGCAGTGCATATAACGCACGTTATACAAACTCTCTATTTTCAAGGGTTTTTACAAGTCTATTAGATGTGCTATAATCTTGGAGTTCCAAATATAATCATAAAAAAATTTCAAGAGTAGAAATAAATTCTCAAGTTGAATCTCCATTCTCTTATTTTTTTCGTAGAGCCCCGACATTATATTTTTTTTTTCCCAAGGACTAATGAGAGATGAACTATTTAATATTTTATCCATATATTTTGATTTAATTTTAAAATACTCATCAACAGAGACATGATCATGAATTAGAATAGTTACAGATGTGTAAAATACATAATACTAATACATCTCTCATGTGTTCTTTAATAAATTGTTCCTTTTTATCACATCTTTTTTAAACATTATATAAACCACAATGATTGTTTGACCATTTTGATTTTTCCAATACTTTTAGGCATTTTCCAAAAAAATAAAAGAGAAGAAAAGTAAAAATAAAAAAAATAGGCACACACACTATCCTCTTGATTATTCATTGAAACCCATATTTCTTCGTTAAGAAAAAGAATTTCTTCATAAAAAGAATCCAGACGTTAACAATCCGACGTCAAAAGCACCTCAAGAGAAAAGAAAAAGAGCCTCACGGGCAGGCGTTTCAGTCCGGGCAAATACTAGAAAAGATGGGCAAGCGTTTCCTCGAGCAACGGGCAGCCATAGCAGGGGACGGGCAGCCATCGCCAAAAACCTTTGTCCTCATGCAATAGTGAAGGGCCTCTGCTTCCGTTAAGAAAAAGCGGGCTCCGGCCTGCTTCAAAGCCTCAATATTAATGGCGCCCTCCTCTCTCTTGATGCTCGAATCCAAGGCTTCGGCGGCCCTCAAGAAATTCTCTTCCCTGCTCACCAAATTCTCCCTCTGTGTCCTCGCTGTCAACCCCATGGAATAATCAGCATAAGGGGGAGTTGGAGAGATTATGGTCCTGGGGTTTGAGTTGGGGTGGTATGATGATGGTGAGGAGTAAGAATATATGTATTCATTGCTGCCGCCACTGTTATCGGCAGTGCTGTCGTCTTTGGCGAGGCCAAACATGAAAGCGGCGACGATGTTGCCCTGCTCGTGCAAGTAAGATTTGAGGCCCAAAGGTACAGGATGGTGGCACTTTCCTACTTGCTTGCAAGGACCCAAACTGCACGAGCTTCTGCACACCTGCAAGAGTGAGAATTAATTAAAACTATTGCACATTGTGGTGTTTTATGTGAAAGAGATCAAGACAAATAAGGTGGCAAATCCTATGGTGTGGGGAGGAGAAAAGGAAAGAACTGAAGGATTATGGTTTTTACCAAGAATATTTAGGGGAGAAAATAAGTTGCAGAGAACAGCAAAGAAATCCTCTTTGGGGATGGGGAGAAGAAAACCCAAAATTTCAGAATAAAGTTCAATGTCCGAAATTCATAATCGACTAGAAATTTGAAGCTAAAATCCTCTGAAAAAGAAAAGCAACCCTAAAATCTCAATATATACCACCACATTCCCTACGATGTTTCTTTTCTAGGAGGATCCCAGCGCCTTTTGGGACTTCTAATTGGTAAGGAATTTTAGCCGCATCAAAAGATTACCTTAAAAATCTGAAATTGGTTTCTAATCTAAAATAGCAGTTTGAACGGCTCAGATTTAGGTAGGAAGTTCGTGAAGGAGAACCCCCCACCGTCCCATCTTTGCAAGTTTGGATATAATGGTTTTCGAAATCAGGGGCGAAAATTTTGGCAGAGCGAACGAGTTTTACGAGCGAAAAAGTAGAAAACCAATTGGTAACTTTTTCATATACATTATATAGATATATATGTTAGGTCATTCAGATAGTTTTATCATATACATTATATAGATATATATTTTAGGTCATTAAGATAGCTTTTCTTTTATATACGTATAGATATATATATATGTTAGGTCATTAAGGGGATATGGTCAATTGGAAAGGGATAAATAACCGCTAACAGTTATAGCAAATCTCAATTGATTTCGCACTGAAAAAGGGAAAGCCTCTACTTCTAAGAAAAAGCGTGGGCATGGGCGTGGGCATGAAGAAAAGGAGCGCGTACATTGTGCAAAGTAAAAGCGATTGTAACGCCAGAGAGAGAGAGAGAGAGATTCCAGTGATTTGAAAGAGAGTTAAAGCGCTTCAACTTCTCTCTAACATGACAAGCATACAACAGAGTTAAGGGAGGCAATCTCTCTTTCGACCTGAGTACTATAAAATAAGGCACCAACAGTGAAAGAAAAGGGAAGAGAGAATTGAGGGTTGCTCTACCTCTCCTTTGTTTTTGGGAAAACGCATCACCGGTCGCAGCTCCTCTTTTCCATGCGCAAACTGTACATCAAAACCACAACCACATCACCGACTACATCATTTGAACAAATCACAGAGAAAAAAAAACAAAGAATTGGGCAATTTACATTGGAACAAATTACAGAGAAAGAACAAAGAAAAACTGACCTGACACTTGGAGCCGTATCTGCAAGCCCCTCTGTCATCCCAAGCCCTGCAAATATCGGTCTTATACAGAGTCCCCATTGCCCAATCTCCTGAGCCATTCGACGAAGAAGAGGACGTTGACTCCATCAACGACGACTTGTGCTGCTGCTTCGTAAACGTATTCACCAATAACCCATCCATCACCAATACCCCCTCTTCCATCTCCTTCCCTTTCCCATACGATGGCGGAGGGAGCACTGGGCTCGGAGGTGTCACAGGTGAAAGCGAGAATCTCTGTTTTCGGACGCCTATATCCGGCGAAATTTGCCGGTGGACGTCATTTCCAGGGAAGAGATCCGGCGAGCACGAGTAGCTGCGGAGGGCCTCCGCGTCGAATGCGGGGCCCAGGAATACAGAAAGGCTGCGACGTGGCAGCGTCCGATTCGGAGCATCCGATGGGGCCAGGGCCCTACTGTAGTTGATGAGACGCTCCATTTTCAGGATGCGATACGTGGTACCCGCTTAGCTTGCGGGTCGGGGGTGAAAGAGTGAAGGCTCGGCGAAATTAACTGAAATATCGGAAGCGAAAACCGTCAAGTAACGGCGGGATTTTAAACGCGGGAGAGTTCGAAGGCGACATTTCGTGCACGGGCCTAACCGAGATCATGAAAGTATCCTATATTCGTTAAAATAGAACCCTTGCAAATCACCTATGGGACGAGTATTTCGCTCCTTATTTTGGCCGAAAGTCATTGAAATCAGGAATCACGAGAGGTTAAAAAAGACAGGGTGCAGTTTGAATAGAGCCGAGGCTCTAAACAATCAAAGTAAAGCATACCTTCAAATAGTATCGAGAAATATGATTTCAATACTGGAAATCTTTGTGATAGGCTTAAAATATATTTTTATTTTTAATTATAAAATTATAATCTTAAAAAATAATGTGGATCAGGCAGATCAATGAAACTCTTGAAAATTGACTGTCAAAAAATGCATTACAAGATGCTCTATTTTCAAAAGTTGAAATCTATTTTTTTCTTATGTCTATGTATCTTGACGTTGAGATGATCAATTTGAAGATATTTGGACATCAAAAAGCCTCTTTTAGTAAAATTTTTGAGCTGGCCTCTAACTGATTGTTTAGAGCCTCGGCTCTATATAAACTTTTTCCAAAGCGAAAAACGGCCCAGGGAATTCACATGAATTTTGTAGAGGTGAAAAGACTTCATGCTCCTCCAGTAACATCTTGTCTACTTGCCCCCTTGGGCATAAATCAAGTTCGGAATGTGTTTTGAATCCCAAATTTTGAGGATTTAATCTCTAGAGGCCAACGATCAAACTCAAAGAAGAAAAAAAAAAAACAAAAAAGTAAAGATTGAATCAAAACCGTCCAGTTTTTAGAGGGAAAGATCTAGTTGCTTGAACACGATCCAAATTTTTCATCTTAAAGAGTATCATCAAGTGATACTTAGAAAACATATCCCGAGTAGATATCTTGTCCAAAGGAGTTCTTGTACAGTATACTCCACGGGAGCATGCAATAAGCCCTCTTTATTGAGAAGGCAGTAAAACGAGTGGACAAAACATCTCTCTTTGCATCTCAATTTTGGAATCTATGACAATTATGCCCTTGAATATTTGCCATATATTCCAGAGTACGCCCATGCCAAACATTTTAATCAAAATATTGCTCACTTTTCAAATACTTAATAATTAATATTACATCCTTTTTATAGTATTTCACTTATACTCACGTGTATTTTGATGGACATTTTAAAGTTAAATAAAGACATGTAAGAAATTTTTTTAAAGGGGCATTATGGTCACAACTCCTGACCCACAAGAATTGGAATGTTACAGTGTTCTTTCTTTCTTGTACTATTTTACTTGAACCGATTTTTTGTAATAAATCATTAGCAATCTCCACAACGCAGATGCTTCTTGATTTCAAGTTATCATCAAAATAAGCTTTTAAGTGACTCTGGAGAAATGCCAAATAAATTGAATACCAATTCCTAGAGTTCTTTTCTTTCTTCTTCTGCAAGTAAACAATGGGGATTCAATAACTGAGCACAGTTTTACTACCATCAGTAATTTGCAAAAATCATACTCCGGTTAATTTTGGATGCTCCTTAAAATAATGTTGAAATTGTATGGAATTTCCAAAAAATATTAAGAACTTCCAAATAAATGGAAGATCTATTCATGTTTCATACTTCACAGGGTTATTTATTTTTTCTTTTCCCAAAATTTGGGGGTTCAAGAACTGTTCATCGTTTTGAGGTTCATCAGAGATTTGCATAAAGGGGATAACTCTTTATGTTCAGTGATCTTTAAAATCAGTTCACGTGAACAGAAGAACATTCTGAATGAACAAACAAATCAAATGCCCGTTTACAGTGATCGTAAGTAATTACATTGACCTTTCTTTCTTCTGCAGATTCAAGACAATTTTACTCTGAATTTTTAGAAATGCAAAAGAAATCAGCATAGATTGCGATGAACTACAGAGCAAAACATAGAGTAAAGATCAAAACTAATCTTGATAGGAAGCCAGCGAACTAATTAAATCAAATTCGAAATTCATCTGAGAATTAGGAAACAGAAGAGATTCATTAAATTGGAAACATAAATTGAAAAGGATCATTAAATGGTGAAATTTCCGGCTTAAATTTCTGCTGACTTAACAAAAATTACCTCTTCTGATCACGCCAAATCCATGTTTCTCGGTGACTTTAATCGTTTCTTTATGCGGTTTGGCCGAAACTGAAGGTATTTTCCGGCATAATCGGAGGCATTTTCCTGCCAAAATGAGCGGAAGGCTTGAGCAGAGGAGAGAGAGGCTTCTCTCTCTAATGGGTTTCGGTGGCCCCGCCTAAAGCGGAATGGTGGGGCCTTTTATAGGACTCCGGTGAGAGGCCTTACATGAGGAAGGCCGTAATCATTTCTGAGCCGTCGGATTCAAACGCCTGACGGATGCAATTGAGAACTCGTGCGGCGGGAAAATAAGAAGATTTTTGTTAAAAGCGCTGCCGTGGAAGGGACGAAAAGATTTGGTGCATTAACGGTCCAGATTTGTCCGGTCTATTCGCGATCGACGGTGCTCAAGTCTTATTTCGTTTTTTTGGGTAATTTAGTGGAAGTTTGTTACAAACGGAATAGAAGTGCAGCACTGAACAAAAACTGATATTTCGTCTCTCTGCCGAAACATTAACACCCATTTTCATGCAACATTCTAAGGCCCACGTTTGTACTTTTTTTTTTTTTCTTTTTTTTTCTATTTCTTTTCTTTTGTTTTTTTTGTTTTTGTCTTCTTACTATTCACCCTCATTTGTAATTAATAAAATTATCTTTGGAGAGGTGATTTTGAGAATGCTTCGGCTAGCCTGCCAAGCCCACGCAGATAGAAATGCCGGCTCGACAATAAATATATTTTTTAAATATAATTTGATACTAATTTTTAGAGAATATATAATCTTTAACATGGAGATGATGAATATTAAAAACACAATTGAAAACTAGAAATAATAATTATAGGATATGGTTTCTATGCGGCCAGCCCACAATATTGTAGAAATGCAGGCTGGGCAATAAATATATTTTTAAATATAATTTGATCCTAATTTTTAGAGAATATATAACCGTTAACAAAATTAGAGAATATATAATCTTTAACATGGTGATCATGAATATTAAAAAAACAAAAAAAAACTAAAAATAATAATTATATTAAAAACACATTTGGGCCATTAGTTACTTGTTTTTTTGATGAACCACCTATTTGCATCCATCTTTAAAATGCTTCTAGTGCATATTGTAGAAACGCAGTCCAACCCTCATGAGACAATTTTCCATAATTATATTAAGAAAACATTTAGACCATTAGTTACAGTTGTTTTAAGATGGACCACCTATTTACATCCATCTTTAAGATGGATACTCTATACTTCTAGACCACATATTGTAGATATACAGTACAAACAGCATGAAATAATTGTTCTTTTCAGAAAGAACATGTTTTCTATGAGTCCATGTAGCAATGAATGAACTCTTAGAAATCTATTTTTGAGAGAGATCATGTATATAAATAAATAAATAAATTTTAAAAAATACAAATAATGATTTCATGAATAAAACAATTGGACCGTTAGTGTCAATTGTTTTTAAATGAGCCACCGATTGTTTTTAGATGAGCCACCTATTTGCATCCATCTTTAAGATGGATGCTTTATACCTTGCATCTATCTTTAAGATGGATGCTTTATACCTTGTATTGTAGACATGCAAACCCGCCCTATTGTAGAAATGCAGTCCAATTGAAAACCTAATACCTGAAAACCTCATACCATTTTTCAACTTGAAAACCTCATAACTTGGAGACCAAATCCTCATGCTTTATACCTTGCATCCATCTTTATGATGGATGCTTTATACCTTGGGAGCTTATATTGTAGAAATGCAAACCCGCATGTAGAAATGCAGTCTAATTGAAAACCTAATACCTGAAAACCTCATGCCTTTTTTCAACTTGAAAACCTCATACCTTGGAGACCAAAACCTCGTACCATTTTTCAACTTGAAAACCACATACCTTGGGAGACCGCATGATGTAGAAGTGCAGCCCAGCTCGCATGAGACAATTTTCTTTTCAAAAATGTTTTGAAAACACATGAGTGGCATTAGATACCCGCCGATACCATCAAATCAACCCAAAGCGGATTCTGTAAGGTTGCAACTTTAAACAATCCAATTACGGCACACCTCCAAATTTTTTCATGACATGTAATTTTGGCATAAATTTTTTTTAGGATTATGTAAAAATCTTTTTTTATATCTAATTATAAGATTTTAAATTCCAAACGTAGTTAAAATCAAGTAGATCTATAAACATATGAAAATCTTGAAAATGGACGTTCTAGATAATGTGTTGCAAGATGCACTATTTCTAGAACTCAAAATCTTTTTTTTTTACATATTCATACCTCTAGATGTCGAGATGATGATCAATTAGACAGTTTTTCAATGTTAAAAACAACCTTTTCTAATTGATTTTTTAAATGCATCTTTTAATTCTACATTTGATTTTTTAAATGCATCTTTTAATTCTACATTTTAAGGTTGCAACCTGATGCAAACTTTTTCCTCCATCAACTTTTTAAGTTTAATTTACATCGGCTACAATGCGTCATTACACGTGATGCCAAAACGATGTGTTCGTCTCTACCATGAGACACTCCATTTTTGAAGTGTTTTGGTCGCCTTTCTTTACATTATGCCCAATGTGGGATTTAAAATACCTCATCTCCATCTTTCACTTAATTTTTTAACTTTCCTATAAACTATTGAAATGTGAATTCGCAACACAGCATATTTTTGCAACCGGAGTCTTAAAAATAAACGCCCTGACTGTGGATATTTATGTGTCACAATTAGTAGGTTATATGACCGTTTTTTCTCTTATCAAGTTATTATATTTTGTAAAATTTGTCCCTTTTTTCTACTTTTATTGATTTGTTTAATATAATTAGAGATGTCTGAATCCAGGTTATATTATATATTTCTCCTAATAAAAGTAAAAACAGAAAGGAAAGATGATTTTTTTTATGAGAATAAGGAATCAAAGACCACAATTATCTTCTTGTTTTTTTTTTTTTTGGGAGAATATAACATAGCAAGGAACTACTTGAAGAAACCCATACGGAAATAAATTCTTATATGTCTTTTAAATTTTTTATGCAAGATAAATCTATGATAGAAAGAAAGCAAGAGAAAATATGCTAGAAAACAATTTTGAGAGAAAGAATCTAAACTATGAAATCAAAGCTAAGCAAAATATGTTAGAACAAAGAAAATCAAGGCTAATAGAAAACCAAAACTATGAAACAGGGAGCACCAACCGTAAGAAGTAGGCCATGGAGATGTTCATGGAGACCCGTGATTACTGTGCCGCAAAGTGTGGTACATAAAGGAGGCCTCTTGCGTTGCACTCTATGATGCAGATGACTTCCAGACCGAACAGGGTTCTGGTGTGCGCTCGGACATTTCCTAATTCCTCATATTCCCTTTGTAAGATCTCTGGTTGCACAACCAGGGACTTTCCAGAGGCGAAATTGATGTGTTTATAACTGGATTTCACAATAAATCTAAGCTCGACAGGCCCACAATGGACTCCAGACAACTGTATACACGTGAATCTAGGACCATGTCTAAGACCATGCACAAACTTAATTATTTAAAAGAGTGGAGAGAGGTGGATCCAGACAATTTAGATCTAGAAAGAAATTAACTTTTTTCTTTGTAGATTTGCAACCGAGCCAGCCTAGAGAGTTTGAAATCTAAAATAAACACAAAAGAATCAAAATTAAAAGGAACATATAAACAAATTACTTAATGAAAATAACGGAAATCAGAAAAAATAGGATATCTAATAAGAAATAAAATAAAATAACCAAAGGAAAATAAAAAAACAGATCCATGAACTCCGGGATAGAGAGAGATCCTAGGAATTGTAGATCTAGGGCTTTTGTTGACCAAAGAGGTTTTACTTTTGGTCTTCGAAGTTGGCTAGAGAAAGGTCATAGAACTAAGGTTTGAATGGCCTAAAGCTAGGGTTTGAGGGCTACAGGGTTTTTATAACTTGAATTAGGTTTAGCGTTTTTGTTTGGATCTAGTTCTACTAAAATGACTAGAAAAATGACTTTTATAGGCAAAATAAACTCCAAAACACGAAGGCAATGGTCCAAACCAGTATGAAAATTCCATTTCTTCCATGCTACAACTTGTTATGTGGATCTTTGCCACATATTACAATGTTGATCAATCTCTTTCCCGTTTCTTGACAATTTTGATCAGAACGTTGATGTGAATCAAATGTCAAATCTAGCTCTATTGAAATGATTGAAAAATGACTTTTATCGGCAAAATAAACTCCAAAACACGAAGGTGGTCGTCCGAACCAATACAAAAATACCATGTGTCCCACGCTACAACTTGTTGCGTAGATCGTGTACCTTTCATGCCACATATTACGATGTTGATCCATCTCTTCCATGTTTCTTGACGTTTTTTATTAGAACGTCGATGTTAATCTAATGGTGGTAGTCTTAGTCGAACCTGGATTTACCTCATGAGCTCCCTCGGGGAACCGGGCTTGATGAACCCTCTCAGACAACTGCTTGACCTGTGCGCATGTGTGCACCTTGCGTGTCGTGTGTGGATAGGTATTTCCAACAATGAGAGGATTTTAAAGTAGTAAAGAGAGGGACTCAAACACCTACCTCACCATGATTGAGTTTGTGGGACACATCTGGGCTGTAGCCCTCTTAGATCAATTACGAAAGCCCTCCGGTTGTCCAATAGCATGGTTTGAATTGGTCCCCTCTCTAAACTCGATATCTCTTTGGACTCTCATAAAAAGACTGCTATAATCTTCTTATGCTAACCTCCTATAAATGCACGTATGGAATAAGGGTTCTAGTTTTGAGAGTAGAGTGACAGGAAAGATATGTTAGAAAGAGAAGCAAGAGAAGAAAGAGAAGTATAAGAGTGGGTTGATGAGAGTTCAGTTTAGAGGTAAGAAAAAGAAGATGAGATAGAAGAAGTGAACATATGACCCAAGAATCGGGTAGCCTCCCGATATAACCTCTCCTAAGAGATGTTACCAGAGACAAGGGAAAGCACTAGGCTCAAATCCTTGGTACCAGGAGGATTTGGAAAGTGGAGTCGCGAGACTTAGCCTGTGACTATGTCACTAACCCAAAGAGCCTCCTAAAAGTGATCTAGTGAGAGAAGAGAAGAAAGTGGAAGAGATATACATCTCTCACAACTCGAACACTATGTATCCCGATGGTTAGAGTAGTT